GAGACATTTGCACTCGCAGATGCTTTTCCTATCTTTAACGAGAGGAGAGGACGCATGCAAACAGTATATTTCCCTTAACTATGCGTCAAGTGCCCTGCCAAATCCACTTTCCCTGCTAATTATTGTATTAAAAGGTTAGAAAAGGCAAGGGGATTAAAATTAGACGGCCGGAACGCACAGACTAGACGATAAACGGAATGACTTCTATTTAATGACTATCTTCTGTTTGGTTTTGGTATTGCACCGGGCTTGTTAGTCATAACTGCAACAGCTAATGCTGCTGCGAACTTAACGACTGTTGTTATTTTTTTTATAAAAATACTAGCTGTTCCAGTGCGGCTTCATCCCCATGAAGTGTCAAAATTCTAATGCACAAATGACAATCGCTTCCTTGATGTTGGCAGCAACTTACGGTCTCTTTCCCACATTAGAATATTTACCCCCAAAGTTTAATGACGTGAAAACATATAGCCTAAAGCGTGACGTAAATGTAGGGCTTTTTATTAAATAAAGAACTATTCAAAAATATGCTGTGATTGCTGACATCTTAGGCAACAAAGAAGTGTGTGTTTACGCTTTATTATACTAGTATAGAGAAGTAGATTTTTTTATCGTTAATTGTTTATTTGCTAATATTTCCTTTGACCATACAAACTAAGCTCTAGGTTTGTGCTAGGATATCGTTCACGACGATAGTCGAATGGCGGGATTCGAAACGTCGACCGCAAGATCGGTAATCCGTACCCCAACCATTAGGCTATTACATATTGCAGCAACATTACGTAAAATTGTATAATATCAAAACATCTCATAACTCAAATGTCGTTCTAAGAAATTGATAATGAAGAATTTACGTAGGTACATTAGTTGTATTTATACTAATATTATAAAAAGGAAAGATTTGTATTTTTGTATATATTGAAAAAACTCAAAAACTACTAGGCTGATTTCATAAATTCTTTAACCTAAAGCTACGTTATCACTCAGTAACATAGGCTATGTTTTATATTAATTTTAAAACACGCGGGCTAAATCGCGAGCAACAGCTAGTTTTAAATAAATTTACTTAATATTTGCTAATTCTAATCGAGTTTCACAATATCTGTGCAATTTACTTATCTACATAGGAAGCGGCAACCTTATAGTACGGAGACCGCAAATAGAAAATTGTATCTAACGTCTTAGGGGAATTACCGTCTATGACAATTAGACATTTAAAAAACTACTGGATGTTGCTCGCGACTTTGCCCGTGTGAAATTAAAAAAAAGCCTATGTTACTCAGTGATAACGTATCTTTTTAATGGTGAAAGAATTTCTGAAATCGGCCCAATAGTTTTTGAGTTATTTCAATACATACAAAAATACAAATTCTTCCTCTTTATAATATTAATATAGATGATGCAAAATTTGGTAATTGTTGGATTTTCAATATTCTTTATCACGTTTCCTGTTTCCCAAAATAAGAAGAAACTTAAATATTGCCGCCCAAGACACTTAAAAGAAATGTATTAGAAAAAATAAGGGCGTTGTAAAAATCTCGCCAAGGACACTACTGGAGTTTGATAAATACTTAAGAAATCTCCCTAATTAATCTAGACAACTAGAAAATTTATATTATCTTTATTTTATAGTCTGATAAAGGTATAAAACGCATCTGTAGTTCCTCTGGTGTAGCGGAAGACCAAGGGCTTATTTCACCTCAGTATTTTCGCCACTCTCTTATTAAAAAAAACAGTTTTTTTTCATCAAGAGCTCTGCCCTCCGAGTTGCTTGCTAACGAAACAATTGAACTTCTAGATTACTTCGGCTACATTCAGATATTCATTTGTTTTCCGTTTCTTGAGACATAAGAAAACTCACTATGCTAAATACCTTAAGTAAAGAAAATTATAACACTTTCTATTATAAAAAGCCCTACACTTACGACACGCTTTAGGTTATATATTATCACGCTATTAAACTTAAGGAGTAAATAAATTGGAAAAAAACTTCATGTGGGAAAGGGATCATAGACTACAAGCTGCCAATATTTAGGAAACAAGGTATGGTAACGGTAATTGTGACATTTGCAATTGAGAATTTGACAAACGTATAATATAAAATAAAGTTTTTATAATTTCATGCGGAACAAAAAAAATAGGTTATCTAATCTTAGATAATTTATTTTTTCACTAATAGTATAGTAAATGCAAATGTTGGGGTGGATTGTTGGATGTTAGTTATTTGCTATAGATTGGAGTTTTTCGTTCGTTTATTTTCGTTTAATTACGCGAGGTAGAGTAATCGCGGAATTAAAAGGGCAAAAGTTGGTGTGATAAGATTAAGCATGAGTCAAATCTGCACTGCAAAGTGTATCATATATCGTATCGTATCGTATCGTATCGTATCATGTATCGTATCGTATCATAATCGTATGTTTTATGGGAGATTTTAAGGGACTAAATTTTAAAATCAATTAGTAAACGTATCAAGTAGATATTTGCAAGATCGCTAAAGCAACATTATTAATCGTAATAAGTAATAAAATTTATTTTCAAACCGACACGTAAATATACTTTTTATATTAATATAGTTGGATACATTTTATATTACTCATATAACAAAATTGTGCAATGTTTAAATCTATAGAAATGATTTACTAAAGATTTACAGTAGCAAGTAAAAAGTATCGTAAACAAGCCTGCCGTTTCTACAATATGACGCAATTTGGGCAATACCATGTACTGATAACCCATACACATGTCCTGGGACGATTTTAATTGAACATTTGTAGCGAGGCCCAGTCTGTTGACAGAATTCAAGCGGGTAACAGATTATTAAATTTAGTTACAATATTTCGTGAGTTAAAAAGTGTAAAGTGCAAAAATTAGAAGAACAAAATCCCGTAAGTGTTTAAAATTGTTTTATAATATTTGTTAAATGTTATTAAATCAAAAATTACATATAATTTGGTTAATTTTGGATATTGAGATCAGAATGAACTGTGGTTTAGATTTGTTGACGTCTTGTGAAACGAATGTTTTCAATACATTCAACAATGAACTTTCGTTCGTAAAGTTTGTAAACAAACACAAACAAAGGACGATCATTGTAAGCCATAAACAACGCATAGCAACAAAATAAACAAATACGAATTTAATCATTTTCATATCTCTATAAAGACTGAGAATAAAATCTAGTAATTGGGCTAAGACTAGACGTAGAATACATAACAGATAAAGAACTTATTTTTGCACTCATTTTTAATATTTGTGATAATATTGATATTTGTGATTTCTCAATAGAAAAAAAAACTGAGACATTAACAAAAGCGTTGTTTGGATGTTTCAGCAATGAAGCCCGGTATAACGTAGCTTGTAGTATTTTTATACGTTGTCATAATACGAGAAGTTATTGAGTACTTTTATCTATATTGCACGGTTATAAAATAAACATACGTCTACAAGTATATTAATTCTGTTCCATTGATTTAGAAAATAAGTTACAATTTTCAAAAATATCATATATTTTCACGGTTTTGTATCGATCAAACAGAATTCTATTCAATAATTAAGAACTTGCTTTATTTTGCTCTAGACCAGAAGATAAATTGGAAATTTTATGGTTTACGACAATCCTTGGTTTACAATCTAGAGTTAAAAAACTTCCCAAATCAACTTCCTTATTCGCAAAATATCATAGATAACGATTAGTAAAATGTTCTGATGTTTGCAGTGCAATTTCCAGAATGGCTAACCACGTTCCTATATCACGGAGGGCCGCCGGCCACGGGCAAACCCATCCCAAGAGGATGTACAAGAAACCTACGGTCAGGGTCGTCGTGCAGCCAGTCGACTCTCACAGGTTAATTCATAACAATAATTTCACGTGACATTATTTCACAGAATATATACCATGAATATCGTTAACCGATATCTAAGGGGGGAGGTTTATGATCAAGGGGCGGGGCTAACAGTAAATACGTTTCTTTCATTCCAAAGATATGCAGAACTGACAAGTTTTGAGTTATCTACATGGGTCGCAATAGATAGTGTGGACTTTTTAAATTTATTCATACAATTATTGTAACCTCTAGGGGGAGGCTAGGTAGCTGCCCCTTTCCACTTGTCGACGGTCTTAAGTTCACAAACTGTGTTATCACAACAAGGATACGTGTCGCCAATATTTTCACCAGCATTTGATTTGCAAACGCTTGGTGCGTTTTCAAGTTTACATGACTCATACTGATTTAAAATAAAACCTAAGTGAAGGTAAACAGATTTAAATGGCATTGGATTTCCGTAACACTTAAGATACCGTACCAATAAGATACATAATGTTCTCCTTATCATTTGTTAGGTCAATGTATGAACTTAAGTGTAACAAATATATCTAGAAGTAAAAACAGATTTACCCAGATGTTTAGGTATACTGCATTTTAAATCTTTACTAATATAATAAAGCGTCAACACACACTACTTACTCATAAAAGAGGTTTAGGCTAAGCGCCATCTGCGCTCGGCCACCTCAAGCCCGGTGAATCTGTAAATGCCTCCTCAAGGCAAACAGTGGCCATTCAGTCACAAAAAAAGGTTTTTTGGTGTAAGATGTCAGCAATCACAGTATATTTTTAAATCATTATTTCTTAAATGAAAAGCCCTACACTTACGTCACGCTTTAGGCTATATATTTTTACGCCATTAAACTTAGGGGGATTTATTAAACTTATTTTGGATAAAAATCCAAATGTGGGAAAGAGACCATAAGTTGCTGCCAACATAAAGTAAGTAAGATTGCCATAATTCGTCATCGTGTCATGTCTATTTGACATTTGCTATTGGTAATTTGACAAATGTATACAATGAAATAAAATTTTCATAAATTCATGCGGATGAAACCGCACGGGAGCAGTTAGTTGTAGATATGTATAACGAAACAAAACACATTGTTATAGGTTCCGTTATAAGTCAGAAGGTCGGTGGGCTGGTTCGATTCCCGGAGTAAACAAAGAGGGAAACAAAGAGGGATTCCCGACCATAGAGATCAGCGGTTGCCCTGAGGGCAAGGCAGTCATTGTGGTTTCCTGCGTCACGAAGGACTCACCTTACAAGTGAGTTTATATGACAAAAACGCATGGAAGTAAATGATGCTTTCATTTCAAATTTTGCTTGACTGCATGTTTTGATCCTGTCTATTCTTCTATTCTAAATTCTAGTCTTCTCTGGCATTTTTAAACATTCATGTTATGGTACCATCCAGCACTTTTAGACATTTGGATATCCTTTATGACCTTTTTTAGATCTTTTGACAATTTGCCCTCGCCCTAGCATGTTCCTTGGTATATTTAGTCTATTTTGTCGCATGCAAACTTTTGCCAAATTCTCATTGCTGTTGTATACTCTAGTTTGGCTTATGTAGTCGCATGGTATTTAGGTCATGGTTTTTTTTGCCTCTGATCGCATGTCGTCTTGTATTTATACAAATCGTTTGGTTGATAGTTATAGATTTTGGCGCATGTTGAAGATTTGGAGTTTGTTATGGGTGCAAAATGCTCTCTTTTTAAGTTCTTTACGTTGTCGTACAGGACACACCCGCACGGCGTAGTCGCTAGAGAATTGTACATGTCCGACGAGGAAGTAAAGAAGGGCGCGTGTAAGGTGGTAGTAGAACTGACCGGCGAAAGCACTAAGGTCCCCTTCACTAACATCGGCATCCACAGCTGCAAACACAATGAAGTTAAGGAGGTCCTCGAGACGCGGCGCAAGCTCGGCGTCGACCCTTTTAACAGTGAGCCCATATCCAATGATTTCGTCAGCTAATTCAGTTACTATTATTGAGACATGTCTTGATGATTTTTTATAGCACGATTACCTTGTCGACTTTGTTATGTCCAAGAAAATATGTAATTCAATTTTTTTTAAATGTTCCTCCTTAAATGCAGGCAACGCGCCTGCGAATCATCTATTGTAGAGAAGGTTTTAAACGATGGTTATCTATTGATAAAATTGTTATATGACTTCTCAATCGAGGAGTAATTTTATACTGCTTAAATTTCTCAGGTGGTTTCGATTACGGCAAGGACCTGAAGAATATCGATTTAAACGCGCTGCGGCTGTGCTTCCAAGTGTTTATAAAGGACGAGAAGAATCGCATTCGACTGACGCTGCCGCCCGTCGTCACCAGTGTCATCCACGACAAGAAGACGCAGGGCGAACTGCACATATCGCGGCTCTCGCATGACGCCGTTCCCGCTTCCGGCGGCACCTTTGTAATACTCCTTTGCAAGAAGGTTATAAAGAACTATATTACTTACTTAACTTGTTATTGACCTCCCCTATTGATCTGCTGTCTGTGCTTTTCATCCACTGTTCATAGTTTTTTTTGCTATGGGGGGGGGATCTTCAAAAAGTTACCCTTCTTTCTTGGGGAGAAGCCAGGATCATGTGAGGTATGTGGTGGCCACCCTCTAGTGCAATAGAAGAGGGTTCCGGGATCTCCGTGGAACTCACCGGAGCATCCATCGTGCATACCTAGATCAATCACCCATCTCCTTGGAGACCTAACACAATCCTGTGCTCGTGAATCTCGATTCAATTAGGCTAGGATTCTCGGATATTGATAAATGAGAGGTTAACCTAAATCAAAACTACCGTACAGGTGAAGCCATCTGATACGACGGTAGTGTTCGTTGAGCGGCGCGGGGACAAGGACTGGGAGATGCCAGCGAGCAACATCAGCGTGCACCAGAATGTCGCCTTCTGCTTTAACACGCCGCCCTACCACGACACTGACATCACAACAAACGCCACGGTACTCCTATTTTTATATCAGAAGCTTAACGTAGCGCGTTTGATACTGACCACGTTGCTGAAGAAAGAGACGCCACACATGCGTATTATACTTCTTAAGTTGCCTCTCCGACTAGCCAGCGGCATGCTATAAAAAGGTTCGTCGTAGAAATCTTACCCAGGGAGCTAAAATCGGCACTGACTTGACCGAAACTGAATTTGTTGAAAAGAAAAGACATTAGATGGTGGCTCCGGTCTTCGTGATGTTAATACAGCCCACTTACTTCTTCCTTCTTATACGTTAGAAGGCTATACTAATATTATAAAGAATAATCATTTGTATGTATCGAGATAACTCAAAAACTACTGGGCCGATTTCAAAAAATCTTTCACCATTAAAAAGCTGCGTTATTAACAAGTAACATATTTAAATTTCAAGCCGGCGCAGTCGCGAGCAATAGCTAGTGTTGTATTAACAGTAATAAATGTATATTACCGTGTGACAGGTGTATGTGCAGCTCAAAAGGCTGTCTGACAACGCTCGCAGTGATCCGATAGAGATCCAGTACACGCCAGCACCTAAAGGTATACCAGCGGAAAATACTATCACGATTTCAACTTGCACAACTTCTTGCAGCGACATGCCGAGTGCACTCGGGGCGACGCGTGCTCGAAGTATAGCGATAAAAAAATGCAAATACTAAAAATTACATCCATTTACTCATACTTATATTATAAATGCGAAAGTTTAGATGGATGGATGTTTGTTAGAGTTTGTAGTCTAAACGGCTGAACGGATATCAATGAAATTTGGCATAGTTGTAGAGCTTTCG